TGCGGAGTCGTGGATGAGTGGATAATGTTCAGCAAATGTATGAGCAGTTGTCCAATTTGCTGCTTTGCATATTTCTGTGACCAGAATGTTTCTGAGGAAGGCTATGGAAGTGGAGCGAAATCTCATGGAGTGAAAACAACGAGGAGTCCTTGTGGCATCTTAGGCTTGGTCTACACTACCCCCCTAATTCGAACTAAGGTACGCAACCTCAGCTACGTGAATAACGTAGCTGAAGTCGAAGTACCTTAGTTCGAACTTACCTTGGTCCACACTCGGCAGGCAGGCTCCCCCGTCGACTCCGCGGTACTCCTCTCGCCGAGCTGGAGTACCGCAGTCGACGGCGAGCACTTCCGGGTTCGACTTATCGCGTCCAGACTAGACTAGAACCCAGAAGTTCGATTGCCAGCCGCCGAACTAGCGGGTAAGTGTAGCCTTAGAGACTAACAAATTTATTTGGGCATAAGCTTTCGTGGGCTATAACCCACTTCATCTGGGTATGCTCAAATAAATTTGTTAGTCTCTAAGGTGCCACAAGGACTCCTCTTTGTTTTTACTGATACAGATTAACACGGCTATCCCTCTCAAACCTGTCATCATGGAGTGAGTTCACACTCTAGAAGGAGGTTGAAGATTGAGAGAATGAAAGCAATAGGTAATGCAGTCCGATATCCATCTAGAGAGGCTTTGTTTAGAGACTGAGGATCCTTTGATCTGTCTGCAATGGAGAGAAATAGTTTGAGAGATTTCCTGAAGGGCTTAGTCCTATCTAAATAGAAGGTTAGTGCTCTCCTGACATCAAGTGTGTGAAATGTTGCCTCCCTTTGTCCTGGTGCAGTTTTGGAAAGAAAACTGGGAGGTGGATAAGTTGGTTTATATGGAATTCCGAAGATATTTTCAGTATGAACTTAGGGTGTGGTCATAGTGTAACCTTGTCTTTGAAAAAGACTGTAAATGAGGGGTACATTAGAGCCTCTCTCTGAGAGGACGTAAAGGCTACTAGGAATGCAGTTTTCACAGAGGTGTAGAAGAGTGCAGGTGGCCATGGATTCAAAGGGAGGCCTTGAAAGGCAACTGAGGACAAGGATGAAGTTCTAGGCTGGTGTAGGGCATCTGACTTGTGGGAAGAGGTTACCCTTGAGAAACCTTCTTATTGTAGGATGAGTGAAAACAGAATAAATGTCTATTTTATGATAAAATGGCTACAAGAAGCACCTTTGAAATTAGAGATAATCCTGACATTTTTAGTTCTAGGATGGAATCTAGCACAAGCAGTAGCAGAGGGGATGTAGGAATAATTGTCTCAAGTCACAGCAGAGTTGGAATCTCTTCCACTTTTGAATATTTGTGCGATGAATAGTTTGTTTCCTGCTACATAACAGCACCACCTTTACATCCTCGGAGCAGGTCATTTCCAAGCCTTCAAACCATCAAGGAGTCATGCCTTGAGCCAGAGAGACTGTAGACTGGGGAGATGGACCTCAACAGCACTCTGATTGTACTTTGCCATAAGAGCTTGGTAATTGGTGATCCTAAATTGTAGGGTCACTGATGAATATGATTTTAGTCCAAATAACTCAGGTTTCAAATCCTTGTGACCGGGTGTCGATTTAGCTTGGCGCTGTCTGCCACATTCATGTACAGGGTCAACAACAATGGAGTTCAGGGATGATTGCGAAAATAAAAAGTCCAAAGTCTTTAGAGAGAACATAGTATTTTTTGTCTGCTCTCTTGCATGTGGGAGGTATTGTGGCTGGTGTCTGCCATATAATTTTTGCTGGGTCCAGCAAGGCCTCATTAACGAGAAGTGCAATGTGGGCACGTACAGGACATTGAGCAGCTTGTGTTGCGACTTCTTAACCTTTTTCAGCAGAATTTTTAAAGAATCCACTACCCTCTTGATAAGGTCCTGAAATTGTTTGACGTTATCAGCCAAGGTTGGTGGAGGAGGCATAACAGCTTTAACAGGAGAAGTTGAAGAGATATTGGTTGAAGAAGTAATCTCTTTGTCTAGTCTCACTTTCTGTTCCTCAAAGATCTCCTCTTGCAGATCATGAGGTCTAGACAAACTGTTGAAGATCGTCTTCTTCTATGCCTATGCGAAACACTATGGGCCCTCAATAACTGGTGTCTATAGGCTACCCAGGAATCCCAGTAAGGCCACTGAGGTAGTGCAAAGGGCATGGGTGGGGCAACCAAGGATGTCCATACCAACTGGATGTGTCGTGTCTCTCATAATGGTAAGCTGGTTCTGCAGAGGCCTCAGGCTGGCTCACTCTCTGATAGTGGAATGGAGAGCCTTCAACTGATGAGACTGAATGACAAGTAGTTGCTGAACCAGTCTTCTGCAGAGCCGAAGAACTAAATACTGGGGCTGTAGACAGGGCCGACTCCAGGCACCAGCCCTCCAAGCATGTGCTTGGGGCGGCACCTGGAGGGGGGCGGCGCTCTGGCCGGTCGGGGAGAGCGGGGCCCCAGCCGGGCTCGCCGCCCTCCCCGCGGCGCTCTGGCCAGCCGGGGAGAGCGGGGCCACTGCCACGCTCCCTGCAGGGGGGCCAGGAACAGCAGGAGGCTTTTTTGCCTGGCTGTAGAGGCCTGTGACAGTACTGATGTAGAGAAGCTTGTTTTCTCTCTACCGCTCCATTCACGCAACAGTACCAATCTTCTGGAGCCTGAACTCTTAGAGTCCCTAGGCTTGCTGGCGGTGCTGATACCTGAGGAGCCTGCAGCCTCGTAGGCACAGAGGCAGAGATTGGTGAGTGCCAAGGTGGTAGACCTTGTCAGGGATCATCTCTTTGTGATAGATTCTCTATCTAGTGGACTTGAAGCCCACTTTTTTGAGGCTTTTTGAGAGGAATCCAAACATTTCCTCTTCAAAGCTGCAGGGGAATACTGAGCAGAGGAAGTCAATGGAATGGGCCTCACTGGAGACCGCTGTACGTGGTGGAGGGGAGGGCTGTTCGGAGTGAACTTTCCATCATTAGCAGCCGGAATTTTAGCTCATGGTTCTTTTTGGCTCTTGATTTTAATTTAAGGCAGAAAGTACACTTCTGAGGCACATGTGACTCCCCAAGACAGCGAAAGCAGCAATCGGTCATTGACCAGGATTGCTTCATGGCAGGAGAGGCAACATTTAAACCAGGGAGAGCCAGGCATACCCTGTCCAGGTTTCACTTCCCCAGAGGGAAGAGACAAGGAAAAAATAAGGACAGGAAGTAGTTTGCTATTTTAATAAGAAGAGAAAAGAGGGTTTTTGTTTGTTTGTTTTTAAAGAAAAAGGGGAGTACTAACAATAACTAATGGAAACTATGAACTAACACTAACTAACTCGAACAAGATAAGATAGAAATGAGGAAATTTCAATTCAGATGCTGCTGGGGCTCCATCTCAGGCTGACTCGGTTGAGAAGGAACTAAGGGCAGTTTGCCCATACAGCACTATATAGCTCTGATGCTATATAGGGCACAAGACAGGGAGAACATATGTGTGGCCTGGACAGACACTGCTACCTAAAATCTCCAATCTGAAGTGCAGTGGGTGCGAATGCCTCTAAAGTGGAGTACCCATAGGGACACTACTTGAACTAGTAAGAGTTCCTGTGATCCATTCTGTCCGTCTTTACTCATTCTTGGAGTAAATGTACAGCAGATGAAGCTTCTGGATGAAGTGTGTCTTTCACCAAGACATGCCTTATATTAACGTTTGATGCTGGAAATACTTCTGGACACAAAGTGCCTCTTTTGAAGACTGCTTGTCTGATTTTTGACTCCACTACTATAGTTAGAACAGAGAGATTAAAAATTCTAACTTTACTAAGAGTATTAAGTATGAGAAAGACAAGAGAGATAAGGTAAGAACTTTTATTGGACCAACTTCTGTTGGTGGAAGGTACAAGCTTTTGAGCTACACAGAGCTCTGCTTTAGGTCTGGGGAAGGAAACAGAGTGTCTGAGATAAAATATCTAGCATTAACTCTAAAATACCTACATATCTAATGGTACTATAGATGAAATCCAAGAGATATGGAGAGGTTCACTTTTGTCTAATGCTGCGGTTGAAAGGAACTGGGGAACAGTAGACGCCATGCCACATTATAGCCTTGCCTTCATAACATTTTAGAGAGGGCGTGTGAGCACTCTAATAGGCACTGCTTAGAACAGGTTCTACTGTCTAGGCTGCACCAACTGGCACAACCCAAGAATGGGAATTTGCAGAGGACACTCGAAGATGAACAGGAAGCTAGAATGGAACAAATAGTGCCACCACCTTAACTACAGATCCTGCTATAGTGTACAGTAGCTGAAGCACTTTGACACATTTCTGAACATTTAAAGCAAATATTTGTTTGAAGATCAACTACATTATGCTAGAACGGACAAATTTAAAATAGTATAACATTAAAAAGAATCTTTTTAGTCACTTAAATCAGTGTTTTATCTGAAATTTGAGCTGCAATTACCAAAGTACTCATGCAACTGACAAATTTGACAGATGTCAAAAATTAATCATTCATTCTGATGGTAATGAAGGGACACTATTATTTGAACAACATTTTTAGTCAGTACAGGAGGAAAAGAACTGAAGAATAATGGATGTGATGCAAAAGTGGTTTCTCTTAATGCATCAAAATATCAGCAACTGAAGCAACTGATCATTGGTTGAAGTTTAGACTAGGACACGCAGACGTGTGTGTTTTTGTTGCCTTAATACACTGAGACAGAAGAGGAAAGAAATGAAGCAACATGCATACACAAGCCAAAATCCATGCTGGAGCACACAGTTGATATTCTCTTTCATGAAGGATATTATATATTTGTATTATAGCAGCATATGCAAGCTCCACTCAAATTGGGACCCCATTGTGCTAGGCACAGTATACGAAAAAGACATCTTTAACTACACTGAAAACTGGTTTAAAGGTTCCAGAATCTACAAATGATTAAAAAATAAAGGTTAGGATATATAGTTTAGTATAACTAAACACCTGTCAGACAAACTGAATACCTGAAGTCAATAGCATTGAGTCCCAACAGCATGCCAGCAAGCATATTTGCTTCCTCTCCCAAGACAATTGCTCCATCTTCATAAAATCTCCTTCAAGAAACAAAATGGTTTTCACCACACACACACACAAAAATCAAACAAACCCCCCCCAGAAATGAGCACCAATCTCTGTTCTAAATAATAATTCAGCTATCACATTGACTATTCAAGTTATTATTATTATTATTTTTTAAAAAAGACTTTTTAAATCCAAATAAATGAAAACAGCCATTGGCTGCCCAGATGGCATTCACATTTCACTTCTGGTAAAGCAAAGGAAGAGATCACTATAAAGGAATACATTCAAGAGGGGGGCAGGGAAGTGATCCATAATGATAAAACTATTTTAAAATGTATCAAATCCAGACATTGCCAAACAAAATAACTAGATATATGTTAATTAATGTATTAGGAGACTATTTCATGCCCTTGAGAAATAGCAATAGAAAAGGATAAGCCAAAAAACAACCCTCACCCCCCAAAAAGAGAGAGAAAAAGACAATTGGAGTTTTACTTGTGAATGAGAATGTGTATCATGCCTACTGAAAGAATGACAATTGATGCCACTGTAAAAGCCTTTTTCATCTATATTTCTTAATTGTACTTAGAGTTAATTTTAAGACCCAGTATTCAGATTTAACTTTCAACAGTTGACTATATTAGCAGACTACACTCCTATTTTTAGCAGCATAGTGTCCCACTGCCTCCCCACTGCTGAAGCCTTTCCTTGCCAGAGGGAAAGACTCTCATAGTGCATGAAAGATCATTGAAAGACTGGGGCCTAAGATAAAACACCAAAATCCACATTTTAGAACCTAAATAAATGGCCTGATTTCAAAAAGGGCTAACCACATCCATCTCCTACTGAAATTAATAGCACCAGCAGATGCTCAGCACCCTTAAAGTCAGGCCACTTATTTTAGGGTTACCATTCGTCCGGATTCCCCCGGACATGTCCGGCTTTTTGAGCTAAAAATAGCGTCCGGGGGGAATTTGTAAATGTCCAGACTTCCCACCCCCTCATGCAGAGCACGCGCGGCTAACAGGGCAGCCGGCCAGATGGTGCCGCTTACATGGGGCTCTGACAGCCAGAGAGAGCCCCTCCTCCTCTCCCCTGCAGCAGAGATCACTCCCTCCCTCCCTGCATTCGCAGATCGCCTCCGGCAGTCTGGAGCTCCTCCCCCACTGCTGCCCAGCATGCCAGAACGAACGGCTCAGACCGTTCCTGAGCAAGTTCACAGAGACCTTAGGCGAAGGCCAACAACAAGGGGGCCAGGGGGTCGGAGAAGGGGCAGGGAGGTTCTGGAGGGGGCAGTCAAGAGACGGGGAGGGGGATCGGG